AAAAGTAACTGCATATGAAATAAACACTAAGATAACATTCAAGTAAAATTTAAGAAAACTGGAACTAGAAGCGTTTGTTGGAGTCTGAAGAAAACATTTATGTAGGAATGATTCTGAAACTAACTTCTGTAGCGACTGTTTTTTTGCTATGGTAGATCAAGATATGGATTCTACTGAAGAGAGAGATTCAGTGAGTAACCTACCTACCGCAGTTTTCAGTTGTCTTTATAATAATACCCTAGCAGTGTAAAAAAGAAGAAATCTTATATGGATTTAAATGTAAGAAACGATAATAATGGTGAAATAACATAATGAAAATATATTGTGTAATATTTTCTGCAAGCATGATAATTTTGCCTATGTGCCCCTCCTACAGAGTTTAAACATGATATCAATAGTCAGTTTAGTTCTCAATATAAAGCTTTAAGAATCTTATAATTTGTTACCACTCAGCAGAGTCAAGTTCTCCCAATTGGAATAACTAAAATTATCCAAAAGTGTACTGACAGGAAAGGTTGTCTAATTTGGCACTATTGTCAATAGAATGCAATTGCGTGAAAGTCTGCGTTAGTCATTCTGAAATGAAGACAAGACAAACATTTATGGAAGAGATAATGTAATTTATGGATTATATATGTCTTCATTACCCATCCAAGCATTAGCGGCCCATCAACAATACCCAGAGGTACACAATAAAAATTAAATTTAGTTATCTTTAATATTTTGCCAATTTTCAGCTATATTAAAATCATAGTTTTATTCATAATTTTGAATTGTTTTCTGAAGGTGTATTTGTCCAGGTAAATGGATATAAATATTTTATGTAACAGTTTGTAAGTTTTTAAATATTTAGACATATAGCTATTTGTAGTCTTGCCCTAGGCCCCACAGATGCTAGGGGTGGGCTCGCTGGGAAAAATAATTGCCTATATGTTGTGACATTACTTACAAAATGTTGTATAGATGTGATCTTAAAAGATTATCACAATATCAAATATTGTACATTGTGTATTTAGGTGAAGACTGAAAGAAAATCTGAAAATCAGAAGGATTGAATGCAGATGAGCATCTAGAGCTAAAATATTGCTAATGGCAGCAAAAGGGGGTACTGTGGAAGAATAGCTCCTTATGCACCCCACTTCACTGAATGTCATCCTGTTTGTCCCCTTCTTCGTTTCTGCCAGTAACATAGAAGTTTAAAGCCTTGCATTTTGTTTTTAATGCTAACTAACGAAATTCCAGAAGCAAGCCTTAAAAATGCAAAGTCTTGCCGGGCGCGGTGGCTCAAGCCTGTAATCCCAGCACTTTGGGAGGCCGAGGCGGGTGGATCACGAGGTCAAGAGATCGAGACCATCCTGGTCAACGTGGTGAAACCCCGTCTCTACTAAAAATACAAAAAATTAGCTGGGCATGGTGGCGCGTGCCTGTAATCCCAGCTACTCAGGAGGCTGAGGCAGGAGAATTGCCTGAACCCAGGAGGCG